AAAATCAATTTTTAACACATTCAGTAGCATTTTGTTGACACCAAAATCCATTTTGAACAGATTTAGCAGGTCTTTTTTAAGCTAAAATCCATTTTGAACAGATTGGGCAGCGTTTTGTTGACACCAAAATCCATTTTGAACAGATTTAGCCGCATTTTGTTGAAGCCAAAATCAATTTTTAACACATTCAGTAGCATTTTGTTGACACCAAAATACATTATGAACAGACTCAGTAGGTCTTTTTTTAAGCTAAAATACATTTTTAACAGATTGGGCAGCGTTTTGTTGACACCAAAATCGATTTTGAACAGATTTAGCCGCATTTTGTTGAAGCCAAAATCCAGTTTGAACAGACTCAGTAGGTCTGTTTTTAAGCTAAAATCCATTTTGAACAGACTCAGTAGGTCTTTTTTGAAGCTAAAATCCATTTTGAACAGATTCACCTGCACTTTTTGAAGCTAAAATCCATTTTGAACAGATTCAGCTGCGCTTTCAGGCACAAAAATGACCCAAAAAAAGTAAAAGTTCTGAGGACCGTGTTAAAAAATGTCTTCTGCAGGCTGCTGCTTTCTGCACAGGCCTGTGGGAAGGCGCCACATTTGTCAAATTTTTGCATCTCTCTGCTCAGAGCGAAGCCGTTGAACCCGCTCGTTACCCACAATGCCTCGCTCTGCCCTCTCAGGTGAAGACGTCGGAGTTCTACCGCTACTCCCGGCAGCTGCGGCAGGAGGTGGACCAGGCGCTCAGCTACTTCCACGACGTGAACCAGCAACCTCTGGAGGAGACGCGCTCCAACCGCATCCGCTCGGTTCGGCCGCAGACCGCCGTCTTCAGGGGAATGATCGGCCACAGCATGGTCAACAGCAAGATCCTGCTGCTGCAGCGCCCCAAGGTGTGTGTTTGTATGTGTGTGTGGGGGGGGATCAACAGGGATGTGGGTTTTATTCATAAGAAGACAAAAAAGAAGAAGAGTTGAAGAAAAAAGGCTGAACAGACGAATAATCTGAAAGAACTGTGTGCGGGGGGGGCTCAACAGGGACATGCGTTTTATTCATGACAAGTAATGTATACAAGTGACAAGTGATTGTATACAATAGGATTTTGAGCAAAGTTTTTACCATTAAATTATGCAAAAGGTGTCGGACGCAAAACATTTCAGAAACCGTATCAAATATGATACATATGGCATTACAGGGTTAAAATCAC